AAATTGTGCGGGGCATCATGCTGTGATTGGGCTATACGGGGATTCGAATCCCCGTATAGCCCAAATCTTTAACGAGCTTGCAAAAGATGACTGATGTCATCACTGTCAACCGTGGCAGCCGTATGGCTACCCATCTACGCTGGAGTACGAAAAAACATCATCTCACGCTCTCAGTCCCAGCGGATAAAAACAACACCTAAGGATGTAAATGTGGCCACAGTCCAAACACGATAACAAATATCGATTGAGCGAAGAGCCATGCTAGTTCTTGCTCATGAAACAGTGCATCCCCATAAAATGAAAAGTCTGAACGAATGCATTCAGGTTCCTACCTCTGTATCACCTTATATTGAGATCAGTTTCTTAACAGGAACACAAACGCGGCCCATCAATTTGTCAGTACTAAGGCAACAGCGTCTGACAAGTGACAACGCATCAAATGGCCAACTTCTGACACTATCTACCAATACGGTAACGGCAATAAAATTGCATTGCGAAATGCAAATAAAATTGCACCATTTCCAAGCGCAGCTTGAAACCAAGTGCGACCAGCTAGTGTCATTTTCACAACCAAGTGCGACCAGTTAGAGTCTCGAGACACATTCCAACTGCATAGGTACCGCAGTAACCCATAAGGTGCGAAAGGAAACACATAACTCGTGTACGGCCAGCGTTCTGTCAGCGTACGACGCATAAAGCAAACTGCTCAAACAACTGCGATCCCGAACAACACAACCCAGAGCTCCGAAACGAATGGTTTACAAAACTGACGACATCGAAAGTTCGAAACAGTACGTTCATCGGGACTAGTCACATGACTCGCTCAACCCAGCTGGGTTATGGGTACTAATTGCGCTTAAAGGGACTATCCCACCTTCTAAAATGTTGTTAAAACCAGTTAAATTGTGCCCGACTTTATACATTGGATAACCAGGAACACGGTTCTGGCATTTATTTTTCATTAAACATCTTAGGCTTCCCATATCCCAAACACAAACATTCAAATATGTGACGTCACAGCCCAAAATTACCTCCTTCCCCAGGCCGCATTACTGTCATAAAGCTGATTCTTTTTACTCTGTAGGCACCACAACAAAGTTCAGACCAAGTTTTAAGCGATTTTTTAACGAACAAACCCATTTAAATCAGAATGACTAAACGAGGTGACGTCACACTAACGGTCGCTCATGTTGAAGATAGGGCCTTGTGCAAGGCCCATTTTCAAATGAAGGGAACGAATTTCTTCAACACCAAGAGGCCGCGGGGGTTGCAACCTAGATAGATAGTGGTTTCTGAACCTCGCCGCAAACTTGGCTATCTCAACTCAAACCCCATGTTAAAGGTGGGATAGTCCCTTTAAAGGGACCCTCCCACCTTAACATTAGATTTGAGTTGAGATAGCCAAAATGGGGTCCCTGGCTCACAATTACCGGTTTCGGCACTCACAACATCGAGAAATGCCTTAAATCGGAAATATTGAATTTCAAAATTGCAGCATTTTGATTCAGAGGGGCTAATGCTTAGGAATACCCCTCTGAATGTGTGACGTCAGCGCAAATATCTAACGATTTTTAAATGTTTGACTAAAACGTTTTGTAGCACGCGGTGGTATATGCTATTTGCGCGCAACATCTGCCGCAAACGCCGCACTTCTAAAATAAAGTCGCTAGAAACAGTGGAGATCCCAAAAAAGTAAACAAAAGTAAAAGTCTAATATTAATGGTGTGAAGTGCTTGAGCGAGGAACATGGCGAGAATAGATACGTGAAGAATCGTTGACCTTTTCCTCGAAAATGTAAAAACAATGCCAAAAGTTATATTGAATGCGGTGAGCTTTCGGCTACAAGCCTTCGTCAAACCAACAAAATGACACAATACAAAATTCAAAATTCATGTCCACATGCAACACTCTAGAACTGAATTTTTAAACTGCCATTGTCGAAACTCGTGCCTGTTTATGGAACAAACCTATCACTCCGCTAAAATCCAAGTAGACATAATGGTATGCAACAACATGTGATAAAGATAGATGCACCAAACACATGATCTGAGATGTCACATATCGACTACTAGGCGACGGGGACCGTCGACATACAATCAAATGATAGGCCATACAATCACATCAGATTGATTGATAGGCCGTACAAGCACACGGATACCTAGGCATACAATCACATGATAGGCCAAGAAGACAGGTTATAGTTTATCTTTGGTCGGTTTCTTCGGATCAGTATGGACTCAGCTATCTTACGGTCGGGATGGTCTTTAGCCTTGTAAAGAATTTTAACACCGAGAGGGATGTGGGGAACATCGGTTGTAGCGTGGCACATCATGAAATGGTCGCCCATCGGCGTCCCCTCAGATCTATTTACAGCATCACGTACATGCTCATTAAATCGCAAACGAACGGGACGTTTCGTTTCTCCAATATACATACTTGGCTCCCCTCCCTCATCACATAGCTTACAATTTAAACCAGGGCTGCGGAGTCGGAGTCGGAGTCGGAGTCGGAGTCGGTCGGAGTCGACAGTTGTGACCGGAGTCGGAGTCGGAGTCGGAGTCGATTTTAGAAACCCGAGCCGGAGTCGGAGTCGGAGTCACCGAAAATCTGCCGAGTCCGCAGCCCTGCTAGGTCTGCGGAGTCGGAGTCGGGAGTTGGAGTCGGTCGGAGTCGACAATTCTGCCCGGAGTCGGAGTCGGAGTCGGAGCTGGTTTTTGAAAGCCGGAGTCGGAGTCGGAGTCGGAGTCGCCGAAAATCCATCGACTCCGCAGCCCTGATTTAAACAATAAACAACATTCGTTTGAGTACAATCCCCTATAAATCCTGACGCGCACGTGTTGCATCTCCGTCCCCCCGGACACTGAGATTTTGAAAGTGACGATCTGATCAGCATGTTTCTAAGTTTTTGGGGGTTCTTCCATGCTAGTCTAAGGTTGAAGCCGGATTTCCTTACCTTACTCTGAATTTTGCATACAAGCTCCTCATCAACGTATGGCAGAGACAAGAAACCGTCCTTGCATTTCTTTTGACTAATGCGATCAGCACGTTTTTGTCTCTCTCCCCGCCTGACCTCTTCTAACAGCCTTTGGAGAATTCTCTTTGGATACCCGTTCTTAACTAGAAGTCCCCAAATCTTATCTATGCTAATCTTCTCCTTTTCCTTGTTAGAAGAATTCCTCATCGCACGGCGGAACTGATTCCTGGCAACGTTGTGCTTGGTCGCTGTTGGGTGGGCCGATTTGTAATGGAGGATACCTAATCCCTGAGTTCGTTGGCTCAATGAAAAGTTCAGTTTCAATTTTGGTCACATTGCCACTGCTGGTAATAGTAACCAGCGTGTCTAAAAATGGCACCCCAGACTGCCCCCCAGAATGTTCTAAGGTGAATCGTAGAGTCGGATGCAGGGATGCAGGCATTGTTGCAGGCATTGTTTTTACATTTTCGAGGAAAAGGTCAATGATTCTTCACGTATCTATAAAAGTCTAATATCTTGAAAACCGGTGAATATTTTTCGGTGAAATTTGGTAGATATTCGGTTTCGCTCTTTCTGAACCGAGCGACATCACTTTCATGCCAATTCATAAACTTTTTTGAAGGTGGGAGGGTCCCTTTAAAATTGACCTCTGACAGCCATTTACTTACGCTAGTTTGATGCATAAAACTGTACATTGAAACTCAAGCGGCAGCACCTAGGTCTCCATCAAGGTGGTTATATACAACAGAGCACCTCGCTAAAACGAGCGCGAGCCGCACTGTCACACTGACAGTTAACACTGAGCCGCGAGTCGTGACAGTCGCACTGCGTCATATGCACGCAGATCAGCAGGGCTGCGGAGTCGGAGTCGGAGCCGGAGTCGGAGTCGGTCGGAGTCGACAGTTGTGACCGGAGTCGGAGTCGGAGTCAGAGTCGATTTTAGAAACCCAAGCCGGAGTCGGAGTCGGAGTCACCGAAAATCACCGGTTCTCGAGTCTATGTCAATCAAAGGACCGATCAAAATGGGTTATGTTTTAGAGACGCCAAAATACCCTACACTTTTTAGGAGCCGGTGGTCTTATGATGTCCTCTGTTTTTGAATATTTTCATACCGGTTCTGTCACATTGTGAACTTGAAGTTCACACTGTGAACAGTGTGAACTTCGGAAACGTCTCTTTGACACCAGCAGGACAGATTCGATTTTTGGGAGTCCTGCTTGATCAAAATCTGACCATGGAGAGGCATGCAGCTGCGGTCGTGCGGCGCTGCTTCGGCATATTGGTCACCTTGAAAAAGCTGAGTCAAACTCTGCCAAAAGCAACCCTCAAAACACTCGTACAGGCGCTCGCACGGTCATAGAATACTAAGGTAACACGGAGCTGAAGCTTCAAGCCAGGGGACACGGGAGGCATGCCGTCAGCTGTCCTTTTTTAAACAATCGGTTTCTTTGAAATAATTTCTTTTGGTTTTTTTATGTCTATCATAAATATAGTACATCAAAAATTTAGTTTTATTTTTTATGAGGTGGTAAATATTTATCTGTCCAAACCATTCCCGTTTAAAGAAAATAGACAAGGAGAGTGTTTACCCAGGACGCTATGGAGGTTGTGTACATGAGTTTACCCAGGGCCCTATGGGAGAGAGTTAACACGTGCTTCTATGGGACGACTTCGATGCAACAATGGCACAGTAGCGACATTACTCTTGTTCGATATCTCTCAGACGACAAAGATTCTACGCCATTCGGCCAATCACATTCCATAATCGCAGCCGAGCCCGTTGACCTAGAACGGGATTCGTCGGACGACGTACAATCTTCGTCGTCCGAGAGACATCGAACGAGGGGTACATCGACTGAATATACATTGCGATTCAATATTCAGTAGGTATTTTATGACCGTGATTGCAATTTGCATTTGAGCTCAGCAGTCGAGTAAGTTGTGCCAAAAATACCATAAGTGTTGCATGCCCTGGATGCAGAAAAACAAGATTGAGATGAGTGGATCAAGATGTATTTTCGTGCAGATGTATCAAGATGTACCTTTCACTTAAGATCCATGCAGGTGAGGTTCCAGTGAAATTTGAATTGGATAGGTAGCCACTTTTGCTTTTGCTTTGATACTTGTGGTAAGGAAACATGATTATTGTTGCATGAACCGCCCACTGCCCATTGCTGTCTTGTCTCGCGTTCGATATCCGATCACCATTCTTAAATAGCTCACCTTACCATATGGAAATCAGGTTTTAGGAGGCCACTAGGCCTGTGGAGCCTGGTCTCAATGAGCTCCCAGTGCTTAGGACAGTCAGGCTCATATGTTGGGTAAGTTCAGGTTCAGGTAGGCCAGTATGCACTCTGCAAAGCATGGCAATTTCGACAAGATCTCGTCTGTGCTGGCTTGTCCGGCTGGTGAGGGTTTGGTGTAGCGTGGATTTAGCTTGGTGCAGTGCGGATTTTGTGTAGCGCGGTGTGGATTTGGCCTGGTGTGGTCAGGTGGTGGGGGATGTAGTGTAGTGCATTTTAAATGTGGCTTGGTGATGGACATGATGGACCCAACAAAATGGATGGCCAAAATTGAAAAAAAGCATTAATGGAACTTTGACATGCAGTTCAGTGTGCTCTCGGGCTGATAGGTGTGCGGTGGTCAGAACGGACTATGCTAGTGCTGGTGCCTGGTGGTCCCACCAATCACGGGTGTCATCCCCTGTTGTGACCCAGGGGGTCTAGTCAAAACCTTACCTATTTCTGCTAACCTAAACCTATTTCTTACAAATTAGGCAAAATGTGATTATGGTATAATAATAAAATGATTCAAAAGTCTTCATTTCACTCATATATTAAACCTGGCCCCTTTTCAGGCGCAAGCTCTGGATGAACTTCTGCGGTGACGTCGGCATTCTTACAGGAGAACCCAAGATTCGCTGTACCTGTATGCATTTCAAAACTGAATAATTGATAGCAACAAGTAAATATTTGAAGTTGCAGCCAAATGCTGTGCCTTCTCTGCTGCAAGAACTACATGTCACCATTGAAGCAAGGTAAGTGTTTAAAGAAATTGTTCACCTTCTGTGAATAATTTGATGAATAAAATTTAACCCGCGCACCGACGGGGGGGCGGATATCCGCCCCCCCTGAGGTTTTTCGCGAATAGCGGGAAAACCGCGGCGCGTAGCGCCGCGAAATTTGGTATGACTATAACCTCATCAATTTTACACATGGTGTGCAAGTTTGAACCTCCTACCTTTTAAGTTCAGGTCACCAGGTCACTTTGAATGACCCAACCTCAAGTCACTTTTTTGCAACTTTGTCACCGTGCCAGAGCTACAGTAGATGTCGGAGGCCTTTGAAAGTCGCAAGATATTATTAGGTCATTAGTAGCTACAATTTGTATATCTCGGAATTTTGATATCGGTGACCTAAGGTCAGGTCAATTTCGCGACCTCCCCATTATAAGTCAATGGGGGAAAAATCAACTCCCTGTTTTTACCACTAAAACGGGTCGGAATGGCCCATATACCATACATGACTTCATATACGATCAACCTTCACTACCTTGAGGTCTGTTTTGCTGTTGGGCAGCTGTGAGGTCATGTGACGTCATCAAAGGTCACCAAAGGTTTTTGGCCAATAACTCCGTACAGGAACAAGATACAATATGTTCAGCTCGTCAAGACGCATCGAATGATATACATGATGACCTCGAGGTCACGTGACCTGAGGTCAACCTTTGACCTTGACCTTTCGAGGTCAACATATATATCATTCGATGCGGATTGACGAGAGGATCACGATGATGCCCTTAGTTTGTTCCTATCTTGACTAATTCGAAAGTTATTCGAGAAAAACTCTCCATATCTAGCGCCGCCATTTTGACTTTTTCGACCCCTGTGACGTCATCTTTGACCTGACCTGAAAATGACCTTAGTAAAAATTGTAGATCTTGGCCGTGCGTATCCGATGCCGTTTACCGCTTGTCGCTATCTTGCTTTGTTCTCGAGATCTCAGGGGGGGCGGTCCTCCGCCCCCCCCCCGTCGGTGCGAAGTTGGCGCAGACCCCCGTCGGTGCGCGGGTTAAAAAGATGTGTTAAAAATGTGATGAATAAAATTTAAATGCATTCTGACTTGGAATTACACACTTCTCCTAAAGGGATATCATTATTTTAATGATTAAAGTTATGAACACTATAACAGCTGAACAACCTATCAGCTGCAAGGGATTCTGCTCCTGTAAGTGCTCTCGTCGCTGATTGGCCACTGTGTGTTGAAGAGGTTTTTGCTAGCTGTAAATGAGCACTAGAACATAAATTTAAGCACTAATATTCACTGATAAAAGGTGAATATCTCAAACGGTTCAAATATAAGGCATACGCAAATCTGCTCTATCAGACTGCTATCTCAGTTTAAAATCCCATGTTAAAGGTGAACTATTTCCTCGACAGGACCAGCGTCCAGCTCGACTCCTGCAGTAGGAGTCCAGCCTCGTCCAGTCGTCGCCGCTCGCCAAGACCAGCCGGACTCCTGCAATAGGGGTCCAGGCTGACCCGTTCGTCCAGTAACCGCCGCTCGTCAGCACCAGCTGGGCTCCTGTAGTAGGGGTCCAGCCTCGTCCAGTCGCCGCCGCTCGCCAAGACCAGCTGGGCTCCTGTAGTATGGGGCTAGGATGGCCCGTTCATCAACTGGTCCTGAAGTCACATCGCTGTCAGCCAGCCGAACTCAGTACATAAGTCACCAACCCTGAATGTTGCCAGCCAAAGTCGGCAGTTTCCTTCGGACAGTCATCTCACCATTGTTGCACAGTGTACAAGGTTAGTGACGCAGTTAAATGCGTCAATTAAAGGCGAGGACGTGCGCTTGTATGCAGCGTTTTGTCATGTTGAGCTGCATGGGTGTCGATTTTCACCGAATTGAGGGTGCCCAGTGCCCACTGCCCGGGCGCAGCAAATCCGCCGCCGCCTTAGCGGTGACCTTGACCCGCACCGTCTATTGGGGCTCCAAAGCCAAGCCAGCCGAGCCGGCGGAGAATTTAGAGAGCTTGAGCACCCCCAACCCGGCGGAAATTGACACCTATGTTGAGCTGTATGGATGCGTTATAGCCTTCCGCCGTGGTGGTAAATAGCAGCCTACATGCAGAATTAGCCAAGCTTATTGGCGGACTCATTATTGGATCAGTGTTGCCGTTGGGAATTTCCGACGCGTACCAGATTCTGAGTGAAAATGTACCAAAACGAACCTATTTCGTACCATATGGGGTATGCCAATGTACCAGATTATGTACCATTGTATAAAACACCAAAACGTCATAGATCAGCAAGATTCTACATCAATTCCGGTCAATTCCTGTGTTTGGTGCTCGCATTTGGATATATGCGACATCTGCTGTCCGTATCAACTTCATAATAAGATTTGCTTTAACCGTATTGATGTTACGTGTCAGGCTAACAATAATTGTAACTTCGCATACCTACTATATTGCTAAGAATTAAGAACTATAGTTATAGTTCGTTTTTTCAACACCGGTTTGGCTCCAAGTTCATTATCGAACCTCTCACGTGAGTTTTGGCAACTTCAGCGTCTGGCCAATAATTTCTTACCGGTAAAATATTCAATTTAAAATTATGCTCGGTAAATACATGGAAATTGTATCTTCAAAAATTATACTATGATGACGTCACTGGTGGCAGCTGGCAGCTAATATCCCTACGGTGGCTTAACCCGCGCCCTGCTGGGGGTCCTGGATTTCCACGCCCTGCTGGGGGCGGGGGTGTTTGAACACCCCCCTTGTATGTTGAGGATTATCAATTGACAGATGTGACATATATAAGACCCATGACTAAGCAATAAATGCGAAACGTTGGGTAATTTCTTGCGTTTTCCCCCCTTTTAAAATGAATTCAAAAGTTTAGGCCATACATGCACTATAATATGTCACCCCCCCCCCCCCTTGTAACTCGGCTCCTGGGCCACGTAGCGATACGCGGAAGGCGGCGTTCGAAAGAGCGTAAAAAATAATGACGAAATCACTTTGGTCAATTTTTTGGTCAGGTCAAAGGCCGGTCAATTTTTTGGTCAGGTCAAAGGTCAGGTCACCAGAGGTCATTGAAGGCAAAATTTCGCCGATTTCCGGGTCGAATGTCGAAAATTTCCAAGAAGCAAACGCATAATTCGGGAACCAACAGAGCTACAGCGCCGCGGAAAAGCGCATTCGATAGCCCTATTAACGCCCTTTCTGAGTAATTCTCTCAGATTTGACCTAACGTCAACGGTCTTGCCTGCAGGGGGCAAAAACTGCAAAAATAGCCGATTTTTTTCGAAAACAGTTTTTCTGCAATAACTTTTGACCCAAGCCTTGTACAAGCCTACTTTTACCGGCATCGTGTTCTTCTCGTCAAGACGCATCGAATGAACTGTAACTTGACCTTGAAAGGTCAACTTGAAAATTTGACCTCAGGTCAAGGTCATGACCTGACCGGAAAGGGTCATGTTGCATATCAGTCGATCCGTATCGTCGAGCTGAACACATCTAAGGCGTTTTCATCGCTCTAGCATGCCTCTATCAAAAGTTATTTGCGAAAAACTGTTAGATACCATTCGTGACCTAAGATGACCTCAGGGCATAAAAAAGGGTCACGGACACCATTTTCAAGTTCAGTGTGTCTAAACCACTTGTAATTCGGTGTTTGGGAGTGTTTATAATGTCTTTCATCCAAAAGAGGCGCATTTCAATTTTCTCCCATTGACTTATAATGGGGAGGTCGCAAAATTGACCTGACCTTAGGTCATCGATATCAAAATTCTGAGATATACATTTTGTACATGCTATTGCTCTTAGCAATCGCTGAAAGTTTCAAAGCGATCGGTCACTCGATGTAGCTATGACAGAGATTGAAAGTTTTTATGAGGTGAGGTCACTTGAAGTGACCTGGTGACCTGACCTTGAATGACCTTGGTCTGAAATTTTCACAACATGTGTAGAATTGATGTATGATAAGGTGTACCAAAAACGGCGCCGTTTTTGAGATATTCGCGAAAAACCACAAGGGGGGTGTTCAACCCCCCCCCCCCCCAGCAGGGCGCGGGTTAATGTGTCGACGAATTTAAGGAAAATTTCAGTTTCCATTGTTACCGAGGTCAGAACGGAGTAAACAATTCTGTCCATGGTAGTTATGGGTACTGGTTATACATTACATTGCAATGCAAGTTCGACAGCATGACAAATTATCACTGTTCCAATGTTTATGTTCTAAAAAGTACGCATGGAATTTATCGGGAATAAATCACATATTAAGGCGACGTTCGATTTTCTCAACCTCAGTGTTTGGCCGTTTCGCTGGGTAAAACGCGTGCTTAGTCGAAAAATGTGCTTGGAGTCAAACCGGTTTTGAACTATAGGAATATGCTTAGGAATATGCTTAATTAATTGGTCTTCCTGTTACAGCATATTCGTTTTAATATTGATTCTGATTAATATTTGGAGGCAGAAATAGATAAATTTAACGTAAAAAAGAAATCCTTGCGCGAAACCGTGAAATGTACCAGATTTGGGCCTCAGTGTACCAGCGTACCAGAAAGTGTTGAAATGTACCAGATTTGGTACAATCGTACCATAGCGGCAACACTGTATTGGATTCATTGTGTCACGTTTGTCGGCACGTGTAAGATGTGCTTAACTGCCAATGGCTCTCGGCCTGGCGACTTCTGGGACCACGTAATGGGGATGACAATTGGGATCCTGTGCCTTAAGCCGGCCATTTACGTCCATGGCTATATACCCCCGTACTAGGGCCAGTTATGACGTATATAGGGATCCACGAGATCTTTTTTGATGAATGGGTTGTGCAGTGTTGAGATCCGCGTGTAACGTCACTGTTTGGCCAGTCTGCCCTCAAACGCGTCATCTTTACTCGTATTTTATTTACATGA